GCTTTGTAAGCATAAACTTATTTTGACTTCTGTATAATTGATGCCTGGGAAAAGTCATACCGTATAATCCGCTGACAAAATGGCCTCCAGTATTTTCCAATAGTGAACAACCTTTAGAATTAGTAAAACATTAAAATGTAGACTGGCTGTAACGAGAAACCCGACTCACTTTGTAATCTTCGCACATTCTACTTCACTTTTACTTCATTTAATCCATTATCTGCATTGGGGGTTCACAATTTTTAAGTTGCATAAATTATTTTTTCTTTGCCTCTACGTGCATGGCGTGTTCACAAACTTGTCAACAAAAGTTGGGAATACAATTGTGAGAGTGTGTGTTGTATCACTTTAAATAATTGGCATACATTGTGTAAGGTTAGTACAAACATTATAACCTATCAGTTGAGAAACAATTTCATTTGAACAAATTTCCAAGCATGTCTACCTAACATTAACAATAATTAGTTGAACACTGCTTTTCCTTGACATCACATGATCATTTTTATCCAATCAGAGGCAGTGTATTGTTTACTCATTCATGTGGCAATGTGTACATTACCAGTTTTATGTCACAGATGAATACAAGTAGAGCTTGCATCGGGTAATGCTTCCAAACGATTGCTTTTTTTTTTTTTTTTTTTAAATCTATAACGTACTTGAAAATATGAAATTTTCTTCAAAACTGTATGACAGTGCTGATTTTCTGCCATTGGTCATTTCAAAATTAAATTTTTGTTATGAAAATCCAGCGATGCCTTGTCAAGAATAATAGACATGTCGCTGAGGTACACACTGTGCGTTAATAATAGGGAAGTATAAGTGTGATGTGTGAAGCGCTATGAGTCATTACATTATTTCAGTCGTTTGGAACGTCGTGCTCTACTGGCATGTCAGCGTGTGTGAAGTTCAGTGAACTTCAGTCTGGACAAGTTGTTTGGTGTGGCGTTCAACGCATATGCGCATATTCTGGGAAGTGGAATTAAAAACTTATTTGTCACAATATAGTGATGGCTTAATATTAATAAAAAAAAATTTACATAATAGACTTTCTAGTATGTACCTCAGTTTAAATTTATCGACAAATCTCAAAGGAGTGGAATGAAACGCTAATTGAGTAGTGGTATGATATTTTGAACTTACATCATAATGGAATCTTGATATGTATTTTATTTTAATGCCTTACTTCACTTAACATTTTATCTTTAGATCTTTTCTTTTAGCTGCCGAGTACTAACGCAGTAGTGTGGAAACTGTTACTGTTACGGAATACTAATCACCCTCAAATTGCATTTGCAATTTCTGTTGTGCGTTTTTGTGTTAAATTGACGCATCATCAAAAAGATATATGTAAAATATTTTGTTTTCTTCCTAAAAATTTACATTGTGAATATTAAAAAATGAGATTTCAAGCCAGCTTGCTTTTTATAGTAGATTATTAAAGTTATAAAGAAAATTAATACATGATAATATCATGGATGTTTTTGTTAAGAATTAATAGTATTCTGAAAAAATCTAAATTAAATCTAATATTTAAAAAAAATTATGATATTATAAATGCAATTACCATATTTGTCCTATTAGAAGCGCATCTCTAAAAGAAGCACATATAAAATTGTATGTATTGTATGCTGCATCATTGTAATATGAAATACTGGGCATTGAGACACACTTGTAATGGATGTACACATTGCCTGCTGTTATATACCATGCATATCTGCTATACATGGAGGATTTCAGCAGGTGGTATATTAATGGAGTAAATACAGTCATATCACTGTGATTGCAATGTGAGGATATATCACAGAAATAAATGAACCTGATATGCAGGTTTTAATATAAGGAACAGTACCAGTAGAGAAAACACAGAAATGAATGTGTCTAATTGGTTCTTCCAAAGATGGCATGGCACGTGTGACAACATGACTGAGTTGTGTGTGTATACCACATTGTACTACTGTAGAATACTTTATTTTCACTTAGAATTTATTTTCGCTATTTTAGCTGAAGGAATGATTCAGTGGAAATAAAATCTACCTTTTTTCCTATATTTTACATTAAATTTGTCAAAAATCAGTGAAAATAAATTCCACACAAAACACCCAAAAAGTCTTTTCAGCGAAAATGAATTCCAGCTAAAATAAAGTATTTTACAGTTTATTAGATGTGTGCCGTCTCTCAATGTACTGAAGCAAGGGCACAGATTCTTGTTTACTATTTGAATACTGTGAAAGGCTTAACCTGTCTTCAATAGCAACTCAAAACAAGCTGATCTCAGACACACTGTGTTCTTGAAAAAGAAAAGAAATTTACCATCCTGTGAAATCGAGTATCAGTGATTTTGGTATGAATGATGTTAGGACACACACACACCACTTGGGGCATTCCGAGATACTGTCTGGTGTACACGCAAATATAATCCATATTGATGTGACGTTTTATGGATCTCTCATGCCTCGCATAAAGGCATTATGTGAAATATTGGTTTTCAAGCGATGTTTTATGGAAACATTTAAATTGCTTTCTATTTGGAGACATTGTTTGTACTTAAGGGAATAGTGTTATCGCCTCGTTTGTCGGATTTTGACATTCAGCATTAAGAAAACATTGAATTACGAGATTGCTTTGTACCAATAATGATCAGATTCAGCATTGTGATGTTTTAACATAAGATGCAAGCGTCTTCACTCGCATTAATACTTATTAAAGTGCATTGGATCATTAACAAGGATTCTGCGATTAAGTTATTGATGGCAGCAATGATTTTACAGTATTTTAATCTGCTGACGGATAAAAACAAGTTTAATTCGTGAAGAAACACTAAAATGTTAATAACCTGTTATTAAATTTATATTAATATTTTGTTAGGGAACTGATCATTACCACCCAGCCGGTTTCCTGTGAGTTTGACTCGGTTTACCGTACCGGTCGTTGCTTTACCGTACCGGTCGTTGCTTTACCGTACCGGTCGTTGCTTTACCGTACCGACCGTTGCGTTACCGTACCGGCCGGACAATTACCGTACTGATAGGACCAATACCGACTATTTATCACCTTCGATTAATGAATGCATGGTAAACAAAGCCCGGGTAACTGATCTGCGCCCTGCCGGTAACCGTGAGTCATGCATGAATTAATTGGGCATTTTGCAAACAATAAGATTTTTTTTTTACCCACCCATTGAAAGTTGAATAATTGAAAAGGACATGACTTG